CCTCCTCCCTTCCTTGCACTCTTACTTCTAGTCCTTCCCCTCTCCCTCACTGCCCCTTTCTTCCCTTCATAATTGACGTAAGAGATTAGATTCTTGATCTCCTGTGCCACTTTCCAAGACGATAAAGGCCTCGTGTTCACAACCTCATCAATCACTGCAACCTCTCTTCCTTCCACTATTGCTTGAAGAATGGATGGTGTCTGGTCACTGTTCCCCTCTGATGAAACACCCAACAACTCACTAGTAGCTACTATATTTTCGACCACCCAATCCTTTCCCAAATCTGCATCTGTTCCAGAACTACCAGGTCGCACGACAACCAATGGTTCCTCCACTATCACGTCAGAATAGTCATTCTCCAGCCAAGGGACAAACTCATTGGAGTTAACCTATTGGATGGAAACCAGATCAGTAGTCACCTCCTCTTCACTATCTCTTCCTAACTCAAGCGGCTCTGTCATCAAATCAGAATCTGTAGTATAGTCTCCCATTCCATTACTCACGAATTTGACTAACTCATTCTCCTCGGCCCCTACAGGTGGCAAGCAATTAAGGCCTTTCAAGGCTACATATAGGCAGAGTTCTTTGAGCAGAGCCATAGCTGACTCATTAGACAGCTAAAAATGGAGATCTCTCCCCACACAAACTATAACCCCCTCTGGTGAGTCCTGAACTACACAATCAGCTTGGTCAACATGCCCAGAAGAAACAAACCCGGAGGCAACCTTCCTTTCCGTAACCAGACCATGCTCAACTTCAGGTGCCGAAGGCACAACTGATAACAAACAGCTCCTCTGTTGCCATCTCAACATCACTTCTCACCACCACACAAGGAGTATAAGAGGGAGAAGGAGTAGTACGAGAGCTCCGGGGGTGAAGAACAGAGAACATACCTGGGTCATTAGTAGAGGTCCACTTTTGTTTGTCTTTTCTTGACCATCTATTAACATGGCGATGTCTATGAGAGTCCCGAGATGAATGATTTATATTAACATACCAAAAGACTAGATGCTAATATTTGTATGTGGCCATTGGATATCTAAATATGTTTATAAGTTTAAATCAAATAGACTGTGTGAGTGTATTACATAACAATATGCATACACACATAACTTTATATTAGATATCAATTAACACAAGAACATATCTATAGAGATCTAAACTAGTATATAGTGATTGGTAATTAATTCACTGGTGGGTTGGTTACATATGAAATGTACTAATCGGATAAAAACTCAGCCCGTATACATCGGAGAAACGGTGGTTTCCAGACCAAAATATGAGCAATTTGTTTTGTCTTGATGCAAATTTTATATCATTAGACTCGTCTTGGAAAATAGAATAGAAGGCAAATTTCGGTTTTGTTTCGATTTCAGAAGTGGTTCCAAATGTTGTAAGTTTGCAGGAAAAGGAAACCCAGATATGAACATGAACAAACCAGTAAGTCAGTAACGAAACCCAGATATGAACATGACCAAACCAGTAACTCCAAGACCATTTTTTTTTTTTTTTGATAAATAAAGATGTCTTAGAAAGCGTTCAAAAAGGGAACGCATCCCGGAAGCTACACAAAGTCGAAAAGCCAAAAGGGACCCACAGAACCCAAAAAAATCCTCTATGGATGTACAACATCTCCCCATAACCCAACAAAAAAGAGAGCTAACAATAAGAGATTTTAAAGCCCCAATAGAAGACTCCTCTCCATCAAAGGATCTTCAATTCCACTCCTTCCATAAACACCACCAAATGCGAAGGGTCGCCACCCTCCAAAATGTGTCCTCCTCCTCAAATTATCACAGAAGCACCACTGTCCAACAAAGAATGCAACCTTTAGAGGGGCCTTGGTGCACCACACAGCCTTCCAAGGAAAAGATTCCCTGATTCTGAAAGCTTCCGAAAGATGGAACAAACATCAAACCTCCCCTGGGGAGAAGGATCCATACCAAAGAATCAACCTTCCCCACAGCAAACTCCTGACAATACACCACAGAAAACAGCTCAAAAACGTCACCAAGCTCCCAGTCCTCAAGATGCCTCACAAAGCACACATCCCAGGTCAACCTCCCGCCATCAAGGTGATAGCAATCAGCAACAAAGCATATCTATCTGAAGCAATCCTAAATAGCCTGGGAAAAGTGCACGCCAGCTTACGATCCCCACACCAACGGTCCTCCCAAAATCGGATGAAAGTGCCCCCATGCGGCTTGAATCGAATATGTTTAGAAAACTCATCCCACACCTTCCTGGTGAATTTCTAAACACCCACCCCACCTGGGATCCTCAACTCAAGGGGACACCACCCACCCCTCTCCTCCCCCTAGATACAACTGATATGTCAAGATCAAGATAATCATCATCATCATCATCATCCTTGCCTTTATTCCATGTGGATAGGGTCGGCTACATTAATTCTCTTTCCATTCTTTCCTATTATACACCATGTCTTCTCTTAAATTTAAGTTTTTTAAGTCGTTTTTAATTACTTCATCCCGTGTAAACTTTGGTAGGCATCTTCGTCGCTTACCTTCTAAATGAAACAACTCTTCCTCTTTTAATAGGTGCATCATCGGGTCTACATTGACCATACCACCTAAGTCTATTTTCCCTAGCTTTATCATTTATAGGTGCCATACCTAATGTTTCCCTCACATGTTCATTATTTATCTTACCTCTTCTAGTAATTCTATCATCCAACGTAGCAACCTCACTTCCGCTACATGAATGCGTTGTATTTGTGTCTTTTTCAATGCCCAACACACAGCTCCATATAATATTGCCGTCCTAATAATTGTCTGATAGAATTTTCCTTTCAATTATTTGGTATTCATTTGTCACAAAGGATACCACTAGCTTGCCTCCTTTTTGTCGACCCGGCTCCAATCCTACTTACCACATCACCATCTTTCTCCCCATCTTCTTTGTAGTATTGATCGTAAGTAACGGAAATAATTCTTTTGAATAACTCTTTGGTCTTCTGTACTTTATCAAATTTAAATGTCATATATTCCATTTTAGTTTTACTAATTCTTAGGCCCCTTGATTCTAATGCCTTTCTCCATATTTTTAATTTTGTTGCTAAGGCTTCCTTAGAAGTATCTACTAGAACTATGTCATCTGCAAATAACATACACCATGGGATGTTTTCTAAAATATCTTTCGTTATTTCGTCTAGTATTATAGTAAATAGGTATGGACTCAACACCAATCCTTAGTGTAATCCCACCTTTAGGAAAGTCACTAATTTCCCGCATGTAGTAACGTCAACTCTAGTCAATGTCTCATAATAAGATTTATAAGCTTTATAGGTACTTGTTTTCCTTGTAAAGCCCACCAAATTATGTCCCTTGGCACTCATCATGTCTTATCTAAATCTATGAAAACCATATGCAAGTCTTTTTGTTTACTCCTATATTCTCCTAAAAATTGTCTTATTAAGTTTTGGTTTCCATTGTGGATCTACCTGGCATAAATCCAATTTGATTACCATATATTGATGTTTCTTTCCTAATATTTGCTCTATTATTCTTTCCCACAATTTCATTGTAGGACTCATTAATTTAATTCCTCTATAATTTCCGCAATTTTTTATATCCTCTTTATTTTTATAAATTGGTACTATTGTGCTTTTCCTCCACTCACTTGGCATCGTTTCTTCTCTAAGAATTTTGTTAAACAACTTTGTTAACCATTCAATGCCTATCTTTCCTAAAATTCTCCAAGCCTCTATAGTTATGTTATCTGGTCCAACGGCCTTATTATTACCCATCTTTTTAAGTGTGTCCTCTACATCCTTATTATGATAGATCAAGATAAACATTTAAAATTTCAGATCATTCTGAGACCATTTGATTGGCCAATTCAATGACGAAAATTGGCTGAAAATAGTCAGAGAACCAGATCTGAAAAATGGCCGAAGCAGCAACTTAAGGACAAAAATACGACCCGACCGCAGTTTCTGTTTATACAATGTTTAAACCATTAGATTAGTCATGCATCATAGAATAATCATCTAAAATTTCATGGCATTCTGAGGATGTTTGGCAGTTCAAATAGATGGAGAAAATTGGAAGAAAATCACATGCCACACTGAGCTAACTGCACATATGGTCTGATTTTAGAAGGTTAGTTGAAGGGTCAAGTTATACATGGGGAAGGTTCTGTTTTCTTTATCCTTTCAAGTAAACTCACACACACATTTAGTTGAAGGGTCAAATTATATATCAGGAAGAAAATCTACTAACTGCAATTGATATGTAAAGGTACAAACAAGGTTTCAAGCTCATAATATTATGTCTTCCGATATCAGATGAATGGTAAAAATGTGCACAAGGCTATAGTTAATAGGATATAACGTAGAAATGAGAGAGGAAGGGGGAGGGAATAAAGAGGGGTGGTATGCGAATTAAACAGCATCAGAAAGGAATTTAGGGGAAAAAAGGAACTTATTTAGTGAATGGCGTGAACAATGCCGTCAAGTTAAATCATAGATAAACTAAGGGATTAGGGCATCGCAATCAGATTTTCTTGAAGGATTCCAATATGAAATGGAGCTTTTCTTTCTTAGAAAACTAAAAAGCATAGCTACATGAAGCTGGCCAACACAATGCTGCTCTCAGATTTGCTAGGTTTCAGGTTTCAAGGAAAGAGACGAACTCAGAGAAGGAGAGGAATTCTCTGTGATGGGGCTTGAAGGTCTCTCTTTTTGTTCTCCCACCAATTTTTTAATACTATCCTTGGAAGGTTCTTGAATTACATAAAAATGGCTAAACAACGTATAATTTACATGCAATCTAGAACACCACAAAAGCATAATCCACCCAGAAAACCTCAACCTGAAACGTGTGGAATTACTCCAAAATAAACAGATATACAGATTTTAAGGCTCATTGTACAGTATTTCAGCCAAACAGAAATAGTATCAATAACTAAAGGTCTTGCACATTCCCAACCGCAAAAAGTGAAATATGTACATATATAAACATAAACATAACATTACTAACCTCCTTTGAAAGCGGGGGCTTTGTGATTGCATAGTAATCAAAAAATATCTGTAGCGTTGAAGGATCCTCTAAAACTGGCCTCCAGGAAGATGGTATCTGTACAATCACCACAAAACTAGATTATTTAACACAGTGAAGCACCAGGTACCAATGGGGAAAACCTTCACATCGCTAAATTATTTATTATCTTAGATATATATATAAATAGAAGTATGTACCTATGCAAGTAAGAATGTGTGGTGTGTTCAAAAAGAAAAAGTAAATTTATACCTGAACAGTTCCAAACTCTTCCGAACTTTCATCAATTGATGTCCCAACAAAATCAAAAGATAAACATTTAAGTGAAAGAGACAGTGCCAATTCTTGCAAGCGGTTCACAACTGTATGTTGCAAATAGGTAAAACCATTAAAATTATATTGCAATCACCAGCAGAACAGCAAATAAAAGAATTTCAAATAGACCAAACGAGCCATAATAATGAAACAAGAAGAAAGATTAGCACATTACCATCAGTTTTAAGTTGACGCAATGATGCGAGTGATATCTGGAAAATTTGGAAAAGTGATTGATCCCTAAAGGAGCAGGCTACCCTTCGATGATGTGTTGAAGGCAACCCTGGATTTGGCTGATTCGAGAAACATATGGGAAAGGTAATTAGAAACATAAAATTCAAAAAAACTGTGATAGAGAGGAGTACACAATATTACTTGCAACAGTAAAAAGATTACACAGATATATATGTGGGGGAGCTTCCTTTTTGAGCTTCTTTTAATGAAACTTTACATATCAAAAAATAAAATAAAATAAAGAAAAAGATCACACAGATATATATAGGCTACTAGACTTCTCCTACTCCCACTAGGATAACCATTCAAGAACTATTGATCACGCATAAAGACCAAATAACACAGATCTAAGTCCCATGGACCGTTCATGATTGTTGACGTTACCAAAATATCCTTAACTCCTAAAATCTATTAGAAAATAAATAAAACCAATAGCAAAATCTTAACCTGAAAACAAACACAGCATAAAACTCAAATTGAACTAAAACTTGATTAAACAAGGTCCCCAAAAAAAAAAAATTTGTTGGTCTTTTAGGACCAAGTTCTGGAAAATAGAAAAGACAGTATCTGAATGGTTCAAGTCTAATTCAGCCAAGTACATAACATTTTCTCAAGGAAAGCATAACTACAAAATTTCCATGTCAAAGGTAAGAACTAAAATACATTGAACATAATGTGCAATCCATAGACTCTCTCAACTTAGCAAGTGTGGATTAAAAAATCAAATTGATTGGAAGCTATTGGAGTCTTTTGGAGACATACTTCTAAAAATATATTGATCTTTTCAATAACGAAATATCAGGTAGTCCGGTTGGCTTTCCAATTATCCAGTAGGATTCTGGGCTTCTAATAATGGGTTACGTTTTAATATGGAGAGTGTGAGATTTGTCAACACATCGAAGTACTTGGATTTGTCTGGAATTTGGTGTTTGGTAAGGTGCCTAAGGCTATTTCTGGGCTCAAAAAGGTAAATGTCAGTCAGAACCATTTGTGCAGTTTGATATCGGCGATAAGTTCCGGGCAAGTGCATTTATGGGTAATGACTATCTATGTGGTTCTCCATTACCAGCCTGCAAAGTTTAGGCTACATATTAAGTTATTAACAATTGTTGCTGGAGATGTCATAGCGCTACATCTCTATTTGTTTTTCTGCATAAAAGTGTTAATATTGAGAAATTTTGGTCTGCCTGTTAGAACTGGAAGTTGTCTTCATAGAAAGTTTGTTTTTCCAAGTGTTCTTGCCCTGTATTCGGTTTAGGTTAATTTTAGTTTTATCAATGCAATAAGTAGTGGGATCAGCTTGAGCTTAGTCGACTGAGTTGGAGAGAAAATTTTATTGACAATCTGGACTCGAGCAATAATTACATGTCCATTAGTTTGACTATGACCAACAAGTCTAAGATAACTTGTTTGTATGTCATGATGTTTATTAACAAATTAACAATCACATTAATAGTTCCACTTCCACTTCGTTTTGTGGTAGAGGTTGGAATTATTAGAGGTCAGTGTAATTTTCCCTTATACTAGTCAACCTTTTTGTCCTCTTTGTATCACAAAATCTTTTGTTGATTCGATTTTAGCCTCTTCGTAGACAGCAGTGAAGGTTCTTGAGGTGTATCAACTAAACTTTATAAATCTGTAATTTTCTGATAGTTTATCAACCGGACAAGATTTTTATAATCTATGTTCAATTCCAACTCCAAATGCATACTCTCTTGATTTTCAATAACATCCTTTGGCCTCTTTTCTTAGCATTTCTTTAATTTAGCCATGTCCATAAGCATACAAATCTTGTTTTCATACTATTGTTCAAGAGAAATTAAAGCTCTAAGAAAACTAGTAAATCAGGTTGCCCTGGGATCAATAATATATATTGATGAGGCTCAAATCAAAGAGAACAAATAACCATTAGATTGGAACGCAAAATTTAACGGACAAATGATCGCAAGGATGTGATGATTTTTTAAACATCATTCATAGAATGAAAGAACAAAAGATCATTAAGACTTTTTCCCCCAATCAATGCACATTCCAGACAAATCAGGCCATCGGCAAATCCATGGCAATGTAACCTTCAATAGTTTGCTACAAAGTTGCTATTTGGAATGAGAAGTAGCCAAAGCTTGTTTCGACGATGGAGAGCTTGGAAGGTGGGGATGGATCATGGCTTGCTTCTGTTAAAGAAGGAAGACTAGTGGAAGATGATGGCAAAAGGCGTGAAAGGTGTTGAAGAGTTCCATAAATGGAAAGAGGATCGTATTTTGCAGAACAAAGCCCACTACGAAGGTAGAAGACGATGCAGTGCTGTTCACAGTCTGTATCGCGTGATTCTCGTGGCGAGGCAAGTAAGGATAGGTGGTTGGCCCTCACAGCATTATCCAGATTATGCTGGGATTTAAGGGTCACATGCAGATACAGCTGTTAAATGGTTAGGCAATTTGAATTTTAAATCTGTTCCACATGCCCATCACCGCACACGGAAGGCACGTGATCTCTTTAATCAGCAGGCTTGGGCCAGGCCGTATGGCAGAGGGAAAATTTTGAAGGGAACTGGGCCAAAGATTCATACATATGACCCAGCTCTAAACAAGGCCAAAGGGACCAGTGACCTGAATTTGAGGCAGTCCTGTAAGAGTCTGGGCCCAAGGGGCGTTGTTTTTAATCCTTGCTTGGACAGGAAGCCCAGCAACCAGCACTCAAAACAGAGGGGAGCTTGTTACCAGCCCACAGGGAGCGGTGATTTTTTGGGGGGCCAGTCAAGCAAGCTTTTGGGTTCAAGGGCCACTGACTTTATTCCATGTCTGGATAGGAGGCCCAATAACCAGCATTCAAATCAGGTGGGAACAGTCTCAGGTGGACCTATCCTCAGTAATTCCTTTGGGACTCTAGCTGGGGCTGACCACTTCCCTGAAGATGTCGCTCAAGACCCTCCCTGTTTCACTGCGAATCAGCCTCAGCATCACAGAGAAGAGAGGACAGGAGAACGTGTTAAGGCTGGCGCTAATTCAAAGAGGTAGTCAATCTTTCAACCTTCATGGGTTAAGGGCAGACGGTGGTCTCAGTTGCAGAAACAGAAATGGGTGCAGACCTCTGTCTCTCATGTGTATCCTGGTATGTGCTCTGTCACATCTTCTCAAACATCTTCTCCTTCTACTCCTCCTCCATCTTCTTCTGAGTAGTGGTGGGGAGATTGGTAGGTGTTTGATGCCAGAAAGTCGCAGACTGTCGCCAGTGCCAGAAGTGGCCTCCGATAGCCTTCGGAGAATGATTGTGAGATGTTGTCAATTTCCTCTGAACATACAGGGGCTCTTTCTTGGTGCGGTGGTGACTCTGCTTCAATTAAGTGTGGTCAGTTGAAAATTCTCCCTTGTGGAAGGGATGATGGGAGCTTGCTCTTATGATTTGGCAGTGGGATCAAGATGCGCATTGAAAAAGGCTCTGCGGATGCTCTGCAAGCAGAATTGCAACTTCACTGCGATGGTTTCAGCAACCGAGACGAAGAATCTGCTGTGATGGAGGTCGGTGCTGTTTTGCGGATAAAAGTGACTTTCCTATTGAAGCCAGGGAGCCTGATGATTTTCGGGAGGAGTGGAGAGGAGGGAGCGAGAAGAAGAAGGGTGGGAGGAGAGAAAGAGATTGTGTGTCTATGAAGCTAAAAATTGCGCCTTGGAATGTCCGGGAGTTGAATGACCCGGACAAGAGGAAGGTGGTGAAGGCTCTAATTCGTAAGTGGGAGGTGCAAGTTGTGTGCTTACAAGAATCCAAGCTGGCATACTATTCAGATAATGTGTTGAAAAGTCTTTTTTTTTCTTGGGGTGGGGGGGAGAGAGATTTGTGGATTGGGAGGTGGTTGATGCAGAGGGCACCTCAGGGGACATTGTTGTTATGTGGGAAAAGAGATGAGTTTCAACAGTTGACATGTTGAAAGGGAGGTCTTCTATCTCCCTTCTTTTCTCTCTGGAGGAGTCATTGGGTGTTCTCAGGGGTTTATGGGCCAGTGGAGGATGTGCAGAGGAGGGGGTTGTGGGAGGAGCTGTTGATTGCTAGGAGTAGATGGTCGGGCCCGTGGTGTGTGGGAGGGGACTTTAATGTTGTGAGGGCGCCAAGTGAGAGATCTACAGAAGGGAGATGGATCCCAGCAATTACTGAGTTCTCAGATTTCATTGATTCTCACCAGCTTTTTGACCTTCCGATGGAGGGTGGCAGATTCACATGGTCTAGTGGTCGGGAGACCCCTACTTTGTCTTGGTTGGATAGGTTCCTCATTTCAGGTGAGTTTGAGAAAGTTTCTGGATGTGTCTCAGGTGGCATTGGCTCGTGCAGCTTCAGATCATATCCCTATTCTCCTTGATTGTGGAGGGGTTAGGAGAGGGAGAGCCCTGTTCAGATTTGAGATCATATGGCTTCAGGTGGAGGACTTCAAAGACAGGGATTGCGGTCGGTGGGCTCATTATGTGGTCAGGGGTAGTCCGAGTTTCATATTAGCAACAAAGTTGAGATTGTTGAAAGGTGACATCAAAATATGGAACAAAGAAGTTTTGGCAATCTGGAATGGCACAAGAACAAAGCTCTTCTTGAAATTTCAAAGTTGGACAAGAAGAAGGGAGAGGGAGGCCTGAGTGAGTTGGAGGCAAACTGGAGGGAGGAATGCAATGCTGAGTTTGGTGAGGCTTGAGTGACCGTTCGGGGAGGAGGAGGTTTTAGAGGCTTTGAGGAGTTGTGATAGGGATAAAGCTCCCGGCCCGGATGGTTTTTCATTGGCTTTCTTCCAGCAAAATTGGGAGGTTGGGAAGCCGGAGGTGATGGGTGCCTTGTGTTCTTTTCATTCTGATGGGCACTTTGAGAAATGTTTAAATGCTTCTTTTATTACCCTCATTCCAAAGAAGAGCAGGGCTGTTGAGGCTGAGGACTTTAGACCAATCAGTTTGGTTGGTGAGGTTCACAAGATTATCGCTAAAGTCTTAGTCATCCGCCTGAGTAGAGTGTTGAATGAGGTGATCTCGGAATCTCAGAATGCTTTTGTTGGAGGACATCAAATCCTGGACAGGGTGTTGGTTGCTAGTGAGTGCCTTGAGGCCAGGGTTAGAAGTGGTGTGGTGTTCCAGGGATTATTTGTAAACTGGACATCGAAAAGGCTTATGATCACGGCTGTTGGAACTTCTTGATGTATATGCCGGAGAGGATGGGGTTTGGTCCAAGATGGAGGATGTGGATTTACCATTGCATTTTGACTACGCGGTTCTCAGTCTTAGCGAATGGCTCCCCAGCTGGTTTCTTCACGAGTTCTCGTGGTCTGCGCTAGGGTGACCCGCTGTCTCCATTTTTGTTTATTATTGTCATGGGGGCTTTTAGCAGATTGATGAGGAGGGCGGAGGAGTTGGGATTCATTCGAGGCTTCTCACTAGGAAACAGTCCCAATCAGTTGGTTATCTCCCATTTGCTTTTTGCACAATTGTCTTTTGTGATACAAGGGTGGATCAGTTAAGGTTCTTGAGATGTGTGTTGGCTTGCTTCCAAGTCGTTTTAGGGCTGAAGATCAATTTAGGAAAAAATGAATTGGTTCCAACTGGGGCAATTGAAGGAATCCATGGTTTTGCTAACATCCTTGGGTGTGATGTCGGCACCCTCCCGATTGCGTATTTGGGGCTCCCTATGGGAGAGTCGTGTAGAGGAGGACTTCAGATTTGGGATCCCGTGATTGAACGATTTGGGAGGCGTCTCGCAGGATGGAAGAAACAGTATCTCTCAAAAGGAGGAAAGATTACCCTTTTAAAAAGTAGTCTATCAAACCTCCCAACCTACTTCATGTCTCTTTTCCCTACGACAAAGACTGTTATTCGAAGGTCGGATGAGATTCAGAGGAACTTTTTATGGGGTGGTATTGGAGATGAGTTCAAGTACCACTTGGTGAATTGGGAGAAGGTGTGCTACCCTTTTCCAGAGGGGGGTTTGGGCATTCGGAGATTAGATTTGTTCAACAAAGCTCTGTTGGGCAAATGGCTTTGGAGATTTGGGGGAGAGATCCCGTCTTTGGAGGAGGGTTATTGTTTGCCGATGTGGGGAGGGCGATGGTGGCTGGCTTTCCAGAGAAACGGAGATTAGATTTGTTCAACAAAGCTCTGTTGGGCAAATGGCTTTGGAGATTTGGGAGAGAGAGATCCCGTCTTTGGAGGAGGGTTATTGTTTGCCGGTGTGGGAAGAGTGATGGTGGGTGGCTTTCCAGAGAAGTGAGATTTCCATTGGGCGCTTGGAAGCTTATCCGGAAGGTGTGGGACAAATTTTCTAAACGTACCCGATTCAAGGTTCGGAGCAGTAGTCACGTCATGTTTTGGGAGGACCATTGGTGTGGGGATTTTGTGCTAGCCCATAGATTACCGCAGCTCTTCAGGATCTCCTCGTATCCTCATGCCCTGGTTGCCGACTATTATCATCTCGATAACGGGAGGTTGACTTGGGATGTGCAGTTTCACAAAGAGTTCCATGATAGGGAGCTGATGGAGGTTGCTGATTTTTTAGTCTTGCTCTATAGTCAAATGGTGGAGGGTGTGAGGATGGATGAGATAGTGTGGGTGGGTGTGCCGAGAGGGGTTTTTGAGATTAGGGCGTTCTACCAAAGCTTGACGGTGACCTCAGGTCCTTCTTTCCCTTGGAAGGCAATTTGGAGGTCAAAAGCTCCTTTGAAGGTGGCTTTGTTTGCTTGGTGTGCTGCCCTCGGTAGCATCCTCACCCTTGACAACCTTAGGAAGAGACACAAATTGTGGTCAACTGGTGTTGTATGTGCAAGAAGAAGACAGAGGAAACAGTGAATCGCCTTCTTTTTCATTGCCCAATGGCAAGGGATATTTGACCTATGCTTTTGGTTGCGTTTGGCATGTCTTAGGTATTCGCAAGACCACTTGGATATGATTGAGGCTTGGAAAGGGTGTCTTGTGGAGAGCCGAGCCAAGGCCGTTTGGAGGGTCACTCCCCTTTGTTTTTGGTGGGGTTTGGGGTGTGAGAGAAATAGGAGATCCTTTGAGGGTGAGGAGACTCCTATTTGGTCTCTCAAATATAGTAAGTGCACTGCACACACTATTTTTTTGGGCTAACAGGCGTAATTGTACATCTTTGGGGGATCTTGTAGATTTTGTGGATAGTTTAAAGCTTTAGCCGTCGCCTTGGTGTTTTGTGTATTCTTTTGGGAACGCTCCCCTCTTGAGCACCTTTTATGAAATCTTACTTATCAAAAAAAAAAAAAAAATGGCTGCAGAACTGGATGCATTGCATTAATGATACAACATAGCATCATGGAATTTGTAACACAGCGTGCCAATAAATTGAAAAATGTTTTCAAGAGGCAATGAATTTTCAACAGGAAGAATTGCTTGAGATATACATAAAAAATAATAGACATTTAGGCTATACACTTTCCTCACTAAATGATAATTCATGTTCTATAATATAACGAACTTGGACATGTGTTAAAAGATACTAACCTGATTCATCTCACAAACAAGCTGATTTAAAATCTTTAAACCAATAGCATAGTGATCTGATGTTGCCTAATAAAACAAAAACTCAAATCAAAGACATGTTGAAAGGTTACATCCATTGCATTTAAGAAGAACCAGTACAAAATATAATGATGAAGGAGGAAGGGGCCGGGGGGGGGGGGGGGGGGGGGGGGGGGGGGGGGGGTGAGAGGGAGATCAAAAGCACCCTGAATAATGAAAAATGTCTTAATTGGATGTAGACAATGGAAGATAAAAAATCACATCTATATGGCCAAGATGCCTTTTCAGAATTTTACTAAAAGGAATATTGTGCATAAACAACAAGAATACAACAGAATTACAGAATTTCAATCTCCATCAGTCCACATTCAGTTTACAAATCTTGGGAGTTGAATTCTAAAAGAAGAGACCATCAAACCATTATTCTGAAACCTTTTAAAATCTTTATAATTACTCCCTAGATAAAAGCTCTGGCATGTTCAAAGATTCAACTAGAGGACTGACACGTAACACAAATTTCTATTTTCTTTATAGGGCAAAGACCACTAATTTCTTTAAAAGATCAGCAAATCCGAATTGCCAACCAAGAAGATAGATTCTCTCCAGCATTAGTTGCTGATGATAAGATACTTTATGAAGACCTAATGTTGAAATATATAAAAAATAAATTTAAATTTATTCTACATTTAGATGCCACAACCATCCTTGACCATGGTTTACTGCGTACCGGACGGCGGATGAACATGACCGCAGTCTAACAGACACAGGGTGTAATGATGGAAACCACGGTAATGAAATTTTCTCCACCTTGCATACCATCAAATGTCTTGATCCTACCAAGTCAAAAAGAGACTCGGTCGAGTCCCCAAGAACTCGAAGGAGTTTGATGTAATTCCAATTCTCACCAATACATCAATGAGTCCCGGCCTCGGACCCAGTGGAATCTCAAAACCAGGTCCTTGACAAGATTTCTATGGTCCACTTCATGAATATCATCCATGATTGCTAACAACCTAATTTCTGAATTCTCATGATCCTTCTCTTTGCAATCCTTTCTTTAATATTCTTTGCAATCCTTGTAAGCACTATCATTTTACTACAACTTGACTTCACTCTCCATAAAATGACTCTAGTAAAAGAACTCTCACCTTCATGACTTGGAGATTATTACTCCTAGCCAAATCACCTACCCCCGCCCACTTCTTGCCATTCCCCTGAATAACCCCTTTATTTACTCCTCAAAAAACATTTATTAGCAATCCAAGCAATAAATAAATCAATGTAAAAATAAATATGCACACATATGGAATTTCACCATCTATATATATTACAATTAGGCTATATAAAACAGTCATGCTACCTGGCTCAAAAAGTTCATTGACTCTTTGACCACATCTTTGAACTTATCATCATCAAACCACCCAAACTTGGTAACTCGACATAAGAGTTGAATGAGTGACCCAGTTACAAAGGGCTGCAATTCTGGTCCTCTTTTCGCCAGATAGTTTATAAGATAGTTTCCTTCAAGGGAAGTCCACAAAAATGAATTTAGTAAGTGTTAAAGAAACCAGATAGAAACAGAATTACAAATTCGACCAGAAGAAGAGAAGACCAGAAAATAGCACAATTTATTATGTGAGTCCCATAAATAATAAGTAATAATTGGCATTCTCTTTGAGCAACTTGATGATGATTGCCAATACAATGGTGGAACAAATTATATATCCCCAACCATGTGGCCAAAAATAAATAAATAAATAATAAAGCAGAACAAGAAAATTACGGATATCAAGGCGCAGCTGTAAAGAGAGACTATGTTCAGTCACTTGCTTCAACAAACTTGAACTAGCCAGCATCAATGCATAAGGAGTCAAAGCATTGTCCAGAATGTACTGGCATTGTGAAATGTAATCAGTGTTAGCAGAAAAGCATTTCAGAGTGTTCTCTGCATGAGCTCGTTCAGCTGAGTCTTGTGAATTGTAGAGCCTCTCGCACAAAGCTTCTAGCTGCGCTAAGCTCTCCATTGTTGGCAAAAGCAATCTAGATTCTCGAATTTTCAGCTAATCAAGAACCAGCGTTTATCCAATTCTAATCTACAAAATTTTCCATAACATGCAATCATACATTTTGAGGAAAAACAATATACATACATATGGGAAAAAAACAAAAAAGATCAGTTTAATATCATAAAAATAAATAAAATAAAATAAAAACAAAGATTGCAATCAAAGTTGAAACAATAAAATTAATATACAATTAGAAATTTTACATTGTTTACAGTACAGGATAGTATCTCTCAGTGTCAAATTGTTCCATATGACTAAACAGGTGGTCAAAATAAGTACATATACATATACACAAGAACTCAAGAAGAGAACCATGAAGCTGTTCATCGGCAAGTTCCTTGTTACATATGGTACAGCATCAACCCTGACCAAAAAGAAAAAAGAATGACATACGAAATAATCAATGGGTATTGCCTGAAAGTCATGCAATTTAACGCAGTTAACAATAGATGTATTAATCAGCAAAAACAACATTAACTCCGATTTATCACCATCAACCAAACATACATATAGAAACAATAACAGAATCAGAATCAAAGTAGGTATAACTACTTGGTAGAAAGTTATACAATCAGTTCTGAATATAGAACAACACAAAATCAGAATCTAAAACTGATTTTTAAATATGGTTAACAGAAATTTATAATTACAAGAAATATATACGAGTATGTATTAAATTATGCATCTGAGTGTGTTTGAATATACCACACACAAAGTAGGTATAACTACTTGGTAGAAAGTTATAGAATCAGTTCTGAATATAGAACAACACAAAATCAGAATCTAAAACTGATTTTTAAATATGGTTAACAGAAATTAATAATTACAAGAAATATATACGAGTATGTATTAAATTATGCATCTGAGTGTGTTTGAATATACCACACACATAAATATATATATGTGTGTGTGTGTGTGTGTGTGTGTATATGCATACAAATATATAACCTCGAGATTGCTAAATGACAGAATTTAAATCAATAGAAAAGAAAAAGAAAACAAAGTACCTAAAATATTATTTAGAACCGATTACCAGATTAAACAATAGAATGCAATAAACTCTCCCAGAACAGAAATCAAGTTGCGGATTGAATATTGATAGATAGAATCTAGAAAAATAAAATGTTCTAGAAAAAATTAGAAAAAAATTACAATTGTTGATAACAGAATCAAAAATTACAGTCTCAAAGTGAACAATATTTCTAAAATCATATCCTAATAGTACCTTTGTCCCTGTCCCAGCTTGAATCGCCTATGCAAATGTTATCAATCGCTGCTCAGTATTTGAGATGCGAACTTGAATGACTAGAGAATATATATAGATTTGTGAGTTAAAGACAAGTGATCACCAATACAACAGCAAGTCCTATGATCTAATTATCTTTTTTTAAGAGAGAGAGATGCGTCTACAAACGTACATAGACAGAAAGAGAGAGGTTGCGTACCAGCAAGCAGAGAAAGAGAGAGAGCAGACCAGAGAAGCCAGTGACGTTCAAACCCAGACCCAAACCCTAACCCTGTTACTGCATCTTAAACCATATTTGATCCTAGAGCCACCCTTCCACCGCTGTCATATTCTGCACCAATCGCGCACGCAATACGTCACATAAGCGCACGAAATTTTTTTTTCTCTTCTTTCACCATTTAGATGGAAATAGCAAATAAAACGAAATGAAATTTTTTTAGACAATTTTTTAAAAGTTTGGGTAGCTAGAAAAAAGAAAATTTTGAAAAAACATAAAATAAAAAAAATAAAAAACAGTTTTTAATAACCACCTTACTAGCTCTAATATTTCAAGTAGAGTGAAACTTGATAGTTTTGATGATTGCAAGTATTTAATAATTTACCTGAGTAATATTAAATTGAGGAAATTACCTTAAAATAAACTTAGGATTCCTAAATAACAAAATTGGTCTATTTCAAAAGTTTATTTTTATTTTAATTGAATTAAATGAAATAATTAAATCTGCATTGAGAACTGCAGGTTCAAAATGTCCTCTAATATTTTATTCCAAAATACCAAATTATGCTTCTTAAATTGAATAATTCATTCACTCAACTTATAAAAAAATAAAAAAATTAATTATGAGTACAATCATTCATCATTATTTAAATACCACAAAATAGTCCATTGGCACATGAATTTTCCATATAGTTCAAAAATACTTTTTTCCTCAAAATCTACCCAAAAAAAAACAATTTTTGAGAAGATAATTAATTTATTTTTGCATTTCTAATTAAGCGAAATTTCCAACTTCAAACCACTACATTAAGCCCGCTAAATTTTTCAGATGGAAGATTGGAGTGCAATGCATGCCAAGAATTTCAAAAAATTCCAATGAAAATGAGTCAAAAAAATTTCCAAACTATTGTTGGACAATTAGTATTCAGGTGATTATGAGAGAGGCTGAAATAATCGCCCTCAAGGATTCTTTTTGTGGTTAGAACAAAGGACTTCGGGTAGGTATGGCTAGAACTAATGCGCTAAAAGTGTTGAAAATAGAAAACAAGAATTGAAAAACTAAAGGCATGTTTAGTAACAAGAATTAATATTCCTATTTTCTACTGTCAATTCTGAAAAAGTAAAAATAAAAGTAAAATCACGTTTATTAAATTACTTTCACTTTTTCATTTTGAGGAAGTAATTCCTAAATTTGTGAAGAGAAGAGAAAGTGAGATACTTCCTGTACAATACTGTAGCGCTAACTTTTTAAAACCTAAAACCCGTCCTTGTTTATATCATCATCGCAACATCACAACCTTAGCCTCTCGCCCTCATATCTGCTTCAAGAAACTTCTACCAGGGCGATCGTCATCCCTTATCTGCGAGTGTTGATCGGCAACAGAGACTCAACGGCCGACCAACAACACCACCTGTAAGTTCGCCCTCTATTCTCAGATTCTCCCTCTTCTCAAATTCTCTTTCTTCTCAGATTCTCTCTATCCTCGTATATGAAGATTTTGTCCTAGAATCTACAATTTCACTTCCTGAATCATTTTATGAGTGAAATATTTGTATTTCCTTTTATATTTATTAGATCTACAAGCATTTTGACAATTGAGGGAATAAATTCATGGAGTTCAGATGTCTTTCCACCCCTTTTTATATGAATGATATTATCTAGGTGTAGAAGTGAGAAGCACTATTGATCCTTGGGCAATTTGAAACAAATCCATAGTTTGTATGCATGTTAGTTCATCAATCTATTTTTATTTTATTTTTTTACCCATTTTATCAATCTCTTTTTTATTTTTATTTTTTTTAAAAAAAAAAAAGAGATTGGGGATTTGCTATGCCGAGTTAAATCATTGAGAGGAATATCTATTAACCACGATCCCCTTGAAGAAATAGATGAGATGTCAGTATAAGAAAAAATAGATAAGTACTACTTTGGACTTGGCGCGAAAAAGGAAATCGCCAAACAAAGATTATATAACACGTGTCATTAGAATTGGCAAACAATGATATCAGATATTTGGTCTGTCCACCTATGTCAACTAGGGTATAAAAGCATAATAACCATTTTTTGGACCATTCATTTGTTGCCCTTGTTTTTGAATGGCTAAAGTTTATAGGATAGTTCATTGTTAGAAAACCAAATAAATTCTACAACGCCATTTTCAACAATGTAGTTAAATTGAGTTGATAGCCAATACCAATCTATAAACCACATCATTTAGATTGTGTTTGATACGTGATGCACTGAAAGTCTGTTCAATTGTAATTCATGTGCCATTTTGGCCAAGTAGATACTTTTAGTAATAACATTTCTCCATTAAAAACATAGAACATCAATGAAGATACCCGGTAAAAAATGAGTAATTCAGGAGCTGTATTTTTAAGTAATGCTAAAGATATGAGCATTGCATAGAGAAATAAATATTTTTTCTTTTAAAAAAAACAGATGTTGAACCTCAAATGCTCGCAAGTGCTTGTAAATGTCGCAAGCCATGGTTGCGCATAATTAAGGGTCCACTAAATTTCCATCAATATCAACTAATAATATATGAACTTAATTATCATGATCTTAATTACGAGCATCCTTATAAGATTATTGTTGTTTAGTTACTATAATATAGAGATTTTGTTCCTTATATTATTTTAAAGTATTATATGTTCAATGCTAAGTTATTTGCTCATTTATTTTATTATGATCTAATAAGTTGTAGAAGTGTGTTAATTGTTGCAGTGATGGATCAAAGTACTCAATTAAGTTGTGTTAGCAACTTTGGTATATAGTAATTGTTCACATAGTATTAATTGTTGTAGTGATGGATCAAAGTACTCAATAATTGGATGGGGATAATGTGGCCGAGGATCAAAGTTCTCAATTTCTATAGAGTGAAAAAAATGAAAAGATCTTAATAACTTTGATGGAAGAAGAAAGAAAGAATGGAAATCGGAAAGGCACCACATTTTCTACTGAAGGATGGAAAAATTTAGAAGAAGGGATGTTAAGGTTGACCAAAGAAAAGTATATGAACCTACAATTGAGGAATAAATTCAATGGGTTGAGAGACAGATATAAAGCATACAAAAAAATTCTATTCAACACTGGTTCATCATGGGACCCTGTAACTGGTCAGGTCACACTTACAGATGCCCAATGGGAGAAGATGGAAAGGTTAGTTGGAATACATTACTTATAGGCGAAAAATCACACAACCCCCGTGTACTAACGTTTTGGTCCAAAATGCCCCCACTAAAATTAAACACCCCCCCCCCTGAACTAACAAAACCCATCAAGTTGCCCCTAAATGACAAAACTGCCCGTATAAGTTAATTGTAAATTTAAAAGTTATAAATCTAATATCTATTTTTTTGGTTAAATTTCAAAATTGCGCAGATGCATCTTCCTTTACAGATCAAAGTCCCAAACTTTGATCATACTGAACTTCGACGCCACCTCCGTTTCTTCCTCAACACCAAAACGTAGGGAACAACGGTGATAAATAAGCAAAATGCAGGGAACAACTGTGACAAATAAGTAAAGGAAAGAAACTGTGGTGGAACCTTCATAAACAAATTCTACGGTGACCAAGCTAATACTCTGCCCCTTCTTTCTCTCTCTACACTATTTCACACAAACTAACACAATTCTATAAATTCAAAACAATAATCCTAGCCGGAACAAGACCCTCCGATTCAGCCGCTATCGGCGGCCCACATCCAGCCATCTTGCCCTAAATTCCCTCTCTCCACCGTTAGAGCCCACCGCCGCATCACCATCGTCGTCGACCTCAGCAATGAGAGTGCCTTCACCGTCAAGTGGGAGGTGCAGAACTACCTCCGCCCCAGGGACGGCATGATCCTCCTCCACGTCCACCCTACCTCTGTCCTCTACGGCACTTATTGGGGCCCCATCGTCCTCTTCATCGACACCAACTCCGATAAGTTGCAACGGAAGCTCGAATTTGACAACTTCACATCCAACAAGGTAAGAACCAAAGTATTGTTGTGAACCCTTCCTTCTGCGGTGGCGTTGCCATAATCACCAACCCGGTCAAGTTAAAATTTCAATTTGGACCTCTTTGTGCAACTCCGGCAACATTTTCCTTCTGTTTACTTCTATTGTAAGTAGCTAAAAACACCCTAAATTAATCGGACTCTGTCTTTGCTTGAATATCCTCCGCCGAAGGACACCCCAACTCACCGATTCTGGTTGAAATTTCGGTAATTCTTATCGCCGGCATTTCCAAAATGGGTTCGTCGATAGAGGATGATATCGTATTGGTCCATAAAGGGAAGAAACAAGGTGAGCCCCACGTAATCATCGTCAATTGTACCAACTATACCAGTGAGATGGAAGATGAATGGTGGTGAGATCGTAGGTGGCACGAGCAATAATGCACTGAAACTAAAAGAAACCCAAAAAATCAAACCCAATAACCCGCATTGAAAACTGAATGACACCCAAAAATCAAACCCAATAACCTGCAATCGAATGTCCCCAAACCTCTCTTGGGCATCGATCATAGTTAAAGCACAATCACGTTTTGACTGATTTTGTTCAAGCACGACAGAGAGAAAACTTGACTCTCTCTCACTATATATACACATATAATATACATGTATATATAAGATGTGATCTAAAATTGATTTTCGAAAATTAACAGGTGTATACAAATATGGGTTTTTGGTACTTGAAATCAAAGGAAGATGGAGATGAACAGTTGACCCACCAACTCAAGGGTATTTTTGTAGTCTTACAATAATATTATAAGTTTTAAATTTAAAATTAAATTATAAGGGTAGTTTTGTCATTTGGGGGCAACTTGATGGGTTTTGTTAGTTCAGGGGGGTGTTTAATTTTAGTGGGGACATTTTGGACGAAAACGTTAGTATAGGGGAGTAATGTGATTTTTTCCCTTATTTATATTATTATCTATTGTTTCATATAAATAACAATAATATATAATTGCAGCAAGTCAGGTATGCCAAGCGGTTTCAGAAAAAATGGTGCAAACATTATGATCTGCTTAGTAACTTTTTTGGTGATACATGTGCTCACCCTTCAAATAGAAGCCCATGTATTAGTGGTGATAAGGGAGATGAAAATCCTAATGAGATCAATGAAGTGGTGGATACTTCTCGTTATAGAAGTCGGTCTCCTGACCTTGCTCGTACA